TTCGCCCCAAAGCGTTTCGCTTTTAAAACAATATGCATGTTCCTAAGCCTAAATAAAAATTTTGACAAAAGAAAACTGTCAAGAAAATATATGGGAAAGAAATAAAAGCATAACAAAAAGGTAAAGAAGTAATAAGAATCTCTTAGCTAGTTACATTAAGTTCATCAAAAAACCGGACATGTAAGAGTAATCAGCTCCAATCGTGCCTTTCCTTAGGCGAATAAACTTTAATGACCCTAGACTAAGAGGCTATGACAGGTGATTTCGTAACTTGACTTAAAACCTATAAGGTTGTATCTCATTATCTCAACCATACTTACTAACGGACTTACACAATGTCAGTTAGGGTTTTTCCTTGAACCATTAAGCTTTGATGAACAGAGCCTGACATTAGCCTTTTTTGATCATTCTGCTTTAGAACCGGTATTGCGTATAGACGTTAACACACACGCGCACGCACACAAGCAAAAGTAGCAGGACCAATACAAAAGAGAATTAGTCAAACCATTCTGTATACGCCTTTTAATTTTTTTTCTTAATTGATTCTGATGATCTCCATCATATGATGGACGAAAGCTCAGCCCGTTTTCACCCGAAGAGAGGGGGGATGTCTCGTGGATTGCGTCAGCCTGAACGTGGTATTAAAGCCAAACGACTGGAATCAGTCATCGTCTTTTAGTGAGATCGACCTAACAATCATTTTCATGCATTTTCATACGAAATGAAGGTCTTCTCGACAAGGTTATCTCAGGAGAGTCATCGAAACACAGTTACTCTTCGTATCTATCCATATTAAATATTTGTAAATCAGAAGCGAGCACAAATTAAATACAATAAACTCAAATAGCCTGAGTAAAGTTGAAATCCAAAGTAGAAAGTACGACCTATGCAAATGAGATAGACATCAGAAGGAAGGGCGACCCTTACTTGCACTGACGTAACATACCATGTAAAACCAAAAACCACGTCAAATTCATGAATCAAATATATCTTGAAGTTATGAAGAAGTATATTTAGAATATGTGCAGATGTTCCTATCGCTTTCAGACTGTTTACTCCAAGAAGTCAGAAATTAACATTGCATATATAGCCTTGCTATTGACAGTAAGAGGAGATTTATAAAGGATCCTCTGCCGAGTTTAATTGTCTCTTGAACACATTCAATGACTATTGTTAAATCTAAGGCTAGTATTCCACCATAAATGACTAAGATGTATAACCAAAGAAAATAGTGGACTCCGGACTGGGTGCGCTTCTCTAAGTCTTCCTACCAATATGACTAAGTTGCAAAAACAAGATCAACAACCTCTGTACAACGAAAGGAGACTGCGACCATACAAAAAATCACACCATCTTGGTCTTCATGCCAAAGAAAATAATGTTGGAATCATTTAATAATCTATCATGGATGCCAAATTTTAGATTTTAAGGCAAACAATAGCCTACAAGAAGAGAAACCCAGGAATTCAAATGTCTCCATCCAAGTGCTCCAAACAATAAAAAGAAAAAGTTACAGACGCATCACATACCTCATTCGGGCTTGCGCAGATAGTTTTTCGTGCATCTGAATTCCCCGACCCGGAACTCGAGCCTTCACTTCGCTAGGACATTGTGCTGCATCACCTTGGACAGTGGCCGCGGCCACTGCAGCAGCAGCAGCCAAAAGGAGACGCGAAAGATTCTGATCAGTCGACGTGAGACTGCTTCTGATTGACTCTGATGATTGAGCATGATCTACATTTTCTTGATCATTACTTTCATGACAGCTTCGAACACTATAACCTGGTTGAGAATTAGAGGGCCCATTCGATTGAGTTTGCTTGAAAGATACAGTGTCGGCGGATGAATTCGGCAAGATGATGCGATTGGAGGCCATGGTATTGAGTCCATCTCCGTTGGCTGAGGTTAGAACAGTTATAGCAGAGGCTAAAAGCTGAAAGAGTTGCTGAACAGAGAAAGAGACAGAAGTCTCTGCGGGATCGTTGACTCCCCTCTCTATCCCGTTTGCCACAGTAACAACGGCTTCACAACTATTTGCAACAGCAAAAGCATCATCCTCAGTCACTCCATCACCCTTATCATCATAATTGCGGTCATCATCATCAGAAGCGCTACGATCATGAAACGTTCGTTTATGTTTGATAACTTGGCTGCGCGCCTGGTTGTTGATTGTCCCAGCAAACAGACATTCTCTGGTTCCATTAATTCTGGAATAAGTATGGTAGCAACTCGGCTTCTTGCAAATCTTTGCTTTCCCCCTATCCAAATGATCTGGTAACTTTCTGTCCCTAACGAGACTAAGGTGTATGGATTCGCCCTTGGCCTCCGAGATAAGGCCTTGATCTGAAGGTGTATTCTCGTCTGAGTCAGACACGCCTACTCCACATTGAGGGGTGAGTCCGACGTTATTACTAATGCAAGGAGGGTCTGAACCGACACATGCATCGGATTTGACCTTTCCAGTACTGATCCCTGGTTTATCTGTGATGTGAAACAGAAAAGAAAAAAGCTGAGACAATTTTGCTTAGACTCAGAGAGAACAAATAGCATGTCCAGAGATGCTTAGAGTTTGAAGGTGAAGACAGAAATATGCATTCAGTACTTGGTGTAAAGCCCGAAACAAGGAAGCAAATTTATTCCGTGAGTTATACCCGTTATCATCCACTATAGTAGAGGTGTTCAACTTATCAAAAATTATTGCTTTGGAATTAAGGCGCATCAGTAACTGATTGAATAAGAAATGATAGCTAAATCACCCAGTTTAATGTCTTTGCTTTAGTTCGATGAGACAGACCAAATATATTTTTACTTTATGAATAGGTTTTCGAGAAACGAAAAATGAGTAATGTTATAGCAAATGTAAATTTGTTTCATCGACAATCACAATACAGAATGTGATATGGATAAAGGTCTGGCCCTATGATCTAAGGGCATTCGTAGTGGGCAGTGTCGAGAATATACGCTGCATTATTAAGGTTCGAGTCCCGTTGGGAGTGCTGATGAGACCCAGGCCAGGTCAAAACTGCAGTCCACCCTGGATAAAAATACCTTTTGGGAAGCAAGGTTATAAGAAATACAATGAAAACGTAAGGTCTACTAATATTTTTGTATGAAACTCCAACTATCAGTCTTATATCACCTTAAAGGAAATAAAGTGAGCATATCTCATATATCAAATGTAACATCTCAAAACGCCAATTGACCAGTAGTGGTCTTTTGAGCTTAAATAAAATTGTATGCCATCATTATTATATAATTATAAAGTAAGTTGATGGGAAATACAGATCGCTACCTAAAGTTTATTTCCTATAGAAACATCAAGATATATCTATTTTATTTGCCTTGCAAATCACTAGCAAAAGAGTTTAAGAGCTTTGGTTAATAAGTTTAGCCTCACTTGTCTGACGAGTGGCTTGGAACCGTGGTGCTTAATGATGATGGTGCTGTTTGGTGAACCTTTGGATACATCTGGAAGAGCACATGATTACATAGAGGACTTAATTAGTGGTAAATTCTTAGAAGTCTCCATTTAATGGTAGATGGAGAAAATCAGGTCAAACAGGTCCTATATGACGAAAGTAGACTGAGTCCAAACAACTATTTATACAATGTTGGTCAGTACAAATACAAATCTCGTGATTATTTAAGTTTAACCCAGGTTTGGCACACCAACCAGAAGGTTAATGTAGTATATCGTAATAAGCTATATGCTATTTCGTTTCCTTTATCATATTAGGCTTATCCTCAATGCTTCCCGTAGTTACTTAGTTTATATAAAGGTAGAGACTAATGATAAGTGGTTGAACGCATTAATCATGAATAGGATTATATTAAAATATATAGTTAAGGCCTTTAAAATAAAGCTCTATGCATGATACCATCAAGGGAATTTTCAATCTAAGGTTGATAGAGTAAGTTCTCAGACGCTCTTATGGCTATAAGTTATGCATTTCATCAAGATCCCTAATAAATTATAATGTATACATTTTAGCTAATTATCGTTGGTAATGAGTGTCTCAAATGTGTTTGCTTAAGTATGGACAAGAAGTAAGGTGCGAAACGTGTCTAGGGAAGGCGACATTTATTTCAAGCGAGGCCTTCTAAGAGTATAATTAAGGCCATTTTCATATATATAATTCCTAATTAAGTAGGATAATTAATTTGATTTAGTGAAGCCCAGTAAAAATCTCATATACAGACAGAAGCATGAGGCCGTTGTGCTTCAAATATAGTTTAGTGTCTTAGTGTCTGCCGTGCTTGATTTTAAGCTATAGTTTACTAAGCACCCACCGGAGAAAAGTAGGCTCCATTTGCAAAGCCTAAATGGTTATATGAAGGAATAAATAATTATTATAACGATATTGATATGTGAATTTATCATATTTAAATCTCATCGGAGTTTAGCTAATAACTTATAAAGGATATAACAAATTAAGGGATAAATTCAAGCAATACAGTCTAGAAATAAAATGAAACGGAACACTCACCTAAAAACATCTTGGGGTTAAGTTGAGCTAACTCTTGGGTGCAATGCTCCTCGTTATCTACCTTCACCGATCTATTCCTATCTAGTTCCATTCTTCCATCGGCCAGCGCGCAACCAGAAGAATCAGCATTTCTTTGACCTTTATGTAGTTGCGGGGAATGTTGCTGCTCCATCTTCAGATCTGTCTGCTGGGCTTGAATGTGCTTTTCAAAGCCCGGAGGGACGCTTGGTTGCCGAAGTTGATCCTGGTGGCACCCACAGGTACAGCAAAAGGATTCAAAAGCGACACTTCCTATTTCCTGAAGAGAGTAGCATTTCTCTGCAATTTGCAGAAGCGTTGGGTTAGATTTTGTCGGCAAATCTAAAGTGTCAGAAGCATGTGGAGAGGTCCGACAAATGAAGCCTGTGGACATTGATGGATCCTGTTCTAATTCACCAGCCCTATTTGACTGATGAAGCTTAAGGGGAGTCAGAGTTCCCTGGCGAAGACAGCCCGCAAATGCAGTTGGGGTTGGAAGTAAGACCGAAGTCGAAATTGATGTTCTTGCCTGTGGACTTCGTGAAGACATCAGATCCCTAACTGAGACATTGTTAGCTAAGGATCTGGCAACGGAAGAAGCAGAAGGTACCCTTATAGCCGCTTCGGCGGCAGAAGTGGCTGTTACCAAGCCAGATATGAAATCTGAAGAGTTAACTAATGAAGGATCCGATTGTACATGGCCGTGACTACTAGCTATGTCTTGGCTAGGTTTGCATTGCGAGTTATTTTCAAGGTTCGTCGGACAGATCATTGTAGACTCGCTGGTTGTGAGCAGCAGTCCATCTGCAAGGTGAGATGGCTATTGGAATATGATTAAATGTTAATAAAAACAAAAAAAATAAATCCATAAGTTTTTTTATGATACTGGAATGAATAAACGCTTGAAATGTAGACAATATAGTAGAAGTGAAGCTAGGTTATGCAGGTATGAATTATTGTAGGTTGTGAAGCCTTATCAAGACCCAGAGCAAAAAAGAGACGAAAAAATGCACAAAGCTTGGATGTCTTAATTAAATTTAATGAAGAAGGTAATCCTTTGCTGCTCACGTTAGCAGTTGCTAGCGAATAAATGGACTAAAGATGCAAATTTTAAGTATTGATTGATAAGCAACTTTTAGAAACATGGTCATACTTCCCAGAGTGAAGTAAGGAAGACTAACTTGGTCATTTATTTAGAATATTTGCTAGAGTTCAAGGTTACACGTTATTTTAATTGAATATTCAATAATAATAATATCATATAAAAGTGAATAAGTCCTCGTACACACGGCGGATTCCTATCCAGCCCGGGCTAAAACGAATTATGTTCTCAAACTAACACTGAGATTTACCACTTTTCGCACCTTTTTAAAAGATGTACTGCGTTGTCCAGCCGAAAAGGATTGACTAATTGAGTTGGCTGATGTCCTCTTAGCCATTTTGCAAATACCGATACTATTTGCTCTGGTCAAGTCACAGGCAGAATCAGAAACACTGGCGATAGGATGAGCAGTAAAATTAATTCCAGTCCCCATCATGCTTGGCTGGGGACTAAGCAAAGCAGCTAGGGCAGCGACATCCATTGCTTCTTGGGCAACCAAAAGACGGCGAAGACGAGCCTCTTCAGACTGTGCTAAATCTAGTTGGCTTGTTAACATTCGTTCGGTAGTGGTCACTGATTTGAGAGCCTGGAAACAAATAAATCGAGAGAATAACGAGGGTACGGGTGCAATAATTAATTAATTCTATAAATTATGATGAAATAACGTGAAGGCTATCTTAATGTTGTATGTAATGCGATAAAACTATGCGCAGGTCAAAATAATGTTAAAAAAATTGGTCCATCCAGTTTTATGGATCTTAGATCATTTTAAGGACGACAAATTCTAAAAACGGGATTGAGCAAGATTATTTACAAGCCCTACTTAAATACATTATCGAGACCGACAATCCTATAAACCCGAAGCACTTAACTTCTAACAAATGTATGGCCAAAGAAAAAAGAATAAAGAAAATTGCAATAAAATCATCGAAAATGAGTCTTCAGAGTATAGCATGCCAAAAAGGAAAAAATTATAATAAACTAGCATGATTTGTTTATAGTATAGATGAAAAATGAAACACGAAATCACTAAGGCAAGCGAACCCAAGAAATATTTCAATATCCGAAATTGCTAAAAGAGGAACGCCTATACAAGCTATCTAAACAGGAAGATTGTTTTTAAAAATTGGGCAAATAAATTTACAGTTTGTAGGCTGACAAAATTTGAATAATAGACCAACTTAGTGGATAGGCTTTAAGGCAGAGGTACCGGTTAATAGGTAAATTCAATGCAAATATAAAATATAAAGGGAATGACAAGGGAAATCTAAGGACATAGGGACTGGACAAACAAGCAATGTCTAAAATTTAAATTGAGAATACACTAAGCCTCGACACTAAGAATAAAATGTGCAAGTACGATAAACAAGTCAAATAGGCTGGAAGTAAATCACACATCTTAAAAAGGTTTACATAAGGGGAATCTCAAAAATCTTATTATTGTGTGTGGAATCTGTATTGATTAAGGTTGCCCATAGTAAATTGGATGCTTTAAAATGCAAGCTGATAAGTCATT